CCCGAGAAGAAAAAGAAAAGGGAAAAACCGTTATTTCCCTTTTGGATCAAGTACTCAAGGAAAGAGTTGGTAAAATCTGAATGATATGACATAAACCAGAAGGCTCAATATGTCTACTGCTTCAAATAAGGTAAAGTTGGAAATACCAAGATTCAGTTTTCGTTCCAAATCTATTCTAAATTTTATCAGAGTCCCCATCATTTAAGATTATCAAATCACCAATCAAGAACTTCAATAATCCAATTACCAACATGATACTTCTTTTCTAGCAAGAGAATTCAAACTCTGAACACTTATTAGAAGGTTTCCAAGAAAATTAGCACATTTTACACACACTGAGTTCAACTGAAATAATAACAAACAGTGGAAGTACAATTTTAAATTAGCAGGCTTTAAACAAGTCAAATCATATTTGTACAAACAATTCAAGTGGAAATATAATACTTCAATGTTACAAATGGTTGTCATGTTTGCTTCTCAATAATCGACCAAGTAATCACTCACTAAAAGTTACTCCTTCCGTTCCAATTTATGTGGTGGTGTTTGCTGCGCACATAGTTTAAGAAATAAAGACTTTTGAAACTTGTGATCTAAAACAAGTAGAAGATACTTGTGTGACTATAGATCATCTCACTAAGGTTAAAATAGAAAGCTTAACTTGAATAGTTTCTGAATACGGAATCTTTTTGGACAAACTAAAAGGGAAAGTATGATGGAGAGTACAGCTTATATGATACTACTAACATGAATTTGTTAAATATCTGAACGTTGTTTTAACATAACAATTCAAATAAGTAGAGTTATGTATAATGATGCATACCGAAAACATTGGTGTTGAAGGTATGTTGAATAGAAGATAAAGGGACTTCAGCAAGAGGGCCAACACACTGTACACCAGCATTGTTAACAAGAACATCAATGCGCCCAAACTTTTCAAGAACATTAGTGAGGACACGTGTCACACTTTGATCAGACAAAACATCGAGTTCTTGAAGAAAGAATCGCGGATCATCTTCGAAATCGGACATGGATGTCAGAGACCGAGCTGTGGCTACAACAAAGCAATTCTTGGATGCAAAAGCTCGAGCTAACTCATGGCCTATTCCGCCATTTGAACAACCTGTTATCAGAACTACTTCCTTAGTTTCTTCCATTAGAGAGAATTTGCAGAGACTGTAAAAAAGTTTTGAGGGGATTTTGTAAGTGAAGGAGATTCGATGAGTGCTATAAGAGAATGTACAGAGTTTGGCAGTTAGGCTTTAATGCCTATTGATGACTTCCTGGAGATTTCTGTTTTATTTTTTGGGTTAATAACACTTTTGATTCATCAGTTATTAATAGTTTTAATCCTCGTGATATGCATATGTAATTTTGAAATGTGCACTTTTAGAGCCTTTTTGGCTGCCCAAAAATTACTTATTTTAAAAGTGTTTTTGTTTAAAAATACTTTTTAAAAAGATATTTTTGTAAAATAGCAATTTGTGCATTTGAATAGTACCTTTTGCAAGCACATTAAGTTTGATCAATCTTTTCAAAAAGTACTTTAAGTATCAAATTACCAAAAAAGAAAGCAAATGTTCAGTTATCAACTAGTATATTTAAAAAAGAGAAATGAATTTAAATATTTATTATAAAGGAATTGAATTACATTATAAAACATAAAATATAAATATAAATTAAAGAATTTTAATTAATATAAAATATAGTTATTCCAAAGCAATCACATTGAATATCTGATATTACTTATTATTTATATGATAATTTAAATATATCAAATGCATCATCCAATATAAATTAAAAATCTATAATTTAAATATATCAAATGCATCATCCAATATAAATTAAAAATCTATAATTTAAATATATCAAATGCATCATCCAATATAAATTAAAAATCTATAATTTAAATATATCAAATGCATCATCCAATATAAATTAAAAATCTACTCTTATGAGACTATTCCAAAGAGGAATAGGAAAAAGAGAACAAAAATATAATTTAAAATAAAAAAGAGAAGAAAGGTATGGTAGAAATATAAAGGAAAAGGTTTAATTAATGAGAGATAATTTCAAAAATATAAATTTATTGTAAGCTTATTTTTGTCCTAAACAAATTAATTTTCTGCTTCTGCTTCTTCGAAGAAGCTAGAATTTGTAGCTTTTCCCCAAAAATAGAAAAACTGCTTCTGCTGGTGCTCAAAAGCACTTTTTTCATATTGGCCAAATACCTTAAATTTTTAAAAAGGTATTTTTTTTGACAAAAAAAGAAGTATTTTTAGCCTTCCAGAAACTTGGCCAAACAAGCTCTTAAAGGTAGTATATATATTTAAAGGTAGTATAGCTCTTAGTATGGCTCATATATTACATATTTATTACATAAAGGGATAAAAAGCATACATTTTAATTATTGAAGGTTAAGTGAGCCGAGTCACATATCACAAAAACTAAAACTAAATTTTGCCAATATCTAATGGGCCAAAAGTGCCAGAATTTTCATAAAGCACTAAAGTTTAGAGCCTAATAACTATAGTTTGCCTAATTACTATTCCTAGGTACTGTCCAATTGTTACTAGCTTGTATGACTTGCATTCAAACGCGCAACAGATACAACATATATCAACTATAACCAAGGCGAAATACAAGAATGTATACAAAGGATACAACCTGTATCGACTGTATTTGTTCGCGCAACAAATACAACTAAGGCGAGATATAGAAAATGCAAAAAAATAAAATGCTCTTGTTGAGAGTCGAACTCAAGAACCACTACCTAAGCAGACCCTCTAACCAACTTAACTACGAGAGCTTATTGCTCTCTTGTTTCAATTCAAAACAATTAATCTCTTATTTCATGAATTTGCTATAAAATTTAAATATAGTTATGGATGATAAATTTGCTTAAAGTATAACTACGAATGATAAATATAGTATAAATGTTTGATGTGTCGCGTAATTTTCCCTTCCCCCCCCCCCCCCCCCCCCCCCCCACATCTCTCTCTCTTTTAATATATATAGGTAAAAATTTACAACACCAAACGAATGAATGCAATACACCATTTTTTCATATACAAACTTATCATTTAATTACGTGATGTATATTTTTACTTTATCTGTTAATCGTTAAGTTAAAAGATGTTCTTATGGTTTGGAGTAACCACCGAGCACATGTAAGTATATATAATATTTACACTAGTTTGCTGCAATCTACAAATACATATGTTTGATAAATTATAACGACCCGACCAGTCGTTTTGAGAGTTGCAGCCTCGTTTCCCCCATTTACTGCTCATTTTATGCTTTACAATTGCTATGTGACTTGCCGGGGTAGTTGGTTCGGGTCCGGAGAGGTTTCAGAATGAGTTGAGACACTAAGTCTCAAGGTTGGAAGCTTAAATTGAAAAGGGTGACCGGATATTGATTTATGTGTAAACGACTCCGAAATGGAGTTTTGACGGTTCCGTTAGCTCCGTTGGGTGATTTTGGACTTAGAAGCGCATACGGATTATGATTTGGAGGTCTGTAGTTGAATTAGACTTGAAATGGCAAAAATTAAAAAATTTTAAGTTTGACCAAGAGTGGACTTTGTGGTTACGAGGCTTAGAATAGGGTTCCGGGAGTTGGAATAGGTCCGTGGTGTCATTTGTAACTTGTGTGCAAAATTTGAGGTCAATCGGACGTGATTTGATAGATTTCGACATCCTTTGTTGGAGTTGGAATTCCTTAGTTTCATTAGGCTTGAATTGGGGTGCGAATCGTGTTTTGATATTGTTTGATGTGATTTGAGGGATCAACTAGATTCGTATCGTATTTTAGGACTTGTTGGTGTATTTGATTGAGGTCCCGGAGGTTTCGAGTGGAGTTCGGATGGTTAACAGATCAAGATTTGGAGTTTGAAAGATTGCTGAAGCTGGGATTCTTCTGGTGCAATCGCACCTGCGGAGCTTTGGTCGCAGGTATGAGCTGGGAAGCGCATGTGCGAACTGGAAAGGATGGGCCAGTGGTCGCAGATGCGAAGAGCATGTCGTAGAAGCGGAGTCGCTCCTATGGAAAGGTGGTCACAGAAGCGGAGAGTGAGAGAGGTTGAAAGGGGTCAGGTGTTTCCGCAGAAGCGGACATGTGAGCGCAGAAGCGCTTCCGCAGGTGCGGAGTCTGAGAGCTTAAGTGAGCTCCATAGATGCGGAGGTTCCGCAAAAGCGGAATTTTGGGCCGCGGGTGCGAAAGCACTGGGCAGTGTTTAAATTCGAGGGTTTCCGAGATTTTCACCATTTTGGACATTTCAAGCTCGGGATTAGGCGATTTTTGAGAGGATTTTCGAGGGGTTTCTTGAGGTAAGTCACTTGTGGTTAAATTTACTCAATAATTATGTTTCCCCATTGATTTTTTCCACCTAGATTGTGTGGTTTTGAGGTGTACTTTTGGAGTTTGAGCTAGGGATTTGGAGAGTTTAAATTGGGGATTTAGGGGTTGATTTGGTGTTGGATTTTGGTAAATTTGGTATGGTTAGACTCGTGGTTGAATGTGCTTCCAAATTTTGTGACTTTTATCGGATTTCGAGACGTGGGCTTGGGGGTCAACTTTAGAGTGACTTTTTGAGTTTTGATTAAATGCTTAGTATTTTCTTATGGAATTGATTCCTTTAGCTCGTGTTGATTGTATCGAACTGTTTGTGGCTAGATTCGAGGCATTTGGAGGCCGTTTCGTGAGGCAAGGGCTTGTCGGAGTAGGGATTTGCATAACTTGAGGTAAGTAACACTTCTAAACTTGGTTATGTGAGTATAAATCCCTGAATTACAGGTTATATGCTTGGTATGGAGGTGACACACATGCTAAGTGATGGACGTGTGGCTGTGCACCATAGAAATTATGACTTAATTGTTCCCGTGGAGTTGCATAATCAAATAATCATGTCAATACCCACATATCCTTCATGTGTTAGAGAAATTGAGCTAAAACTTATGTTAAAATCATGCTTAGGCCATGTGCCGATATTTTTGGGACCCATAGAGGTCGTATTACTGTTGAATTACTTGTTTAAAATTACAATTGTGAACTCAGTCACATCTATCATTTGCATATCATATCTCAATCTCTATTACCATCCATTGATACATCATATCATCATGACAAGCTGATTTTGATGACATTGTGAGCCGAGAGACTGGAGAGATTAATGACTGAGTGAGGCCGAGAGCCTGGTTGTGAGTGATAATTAAGGGATAAGGCTGCATGCCGCAATATATTTTTAATTATTTATGCCTGGACCTGGCTTATTATAGCACTTGAGCTGAAGGAGCCCATCCGGAGTATGCACTCCCATAGTGAGCGCAATGGATATTATATTTGGGATGAGGTTCCCTGGGCATGGAGTTGCCCTATATATTTACATTTAGGATTGAGTTCCCTGGGCAAGGAGTTGCCCTATACATTTATATTGAGGATGGATCTTCCCTGGGATAGACCTTTCCCGTACTGTATTGAGTGATTGAGTACTCTAAGCGTGTGAGTACACGAGGCTTCCATTGTAGTGTACCACATACAACATGTATAGTGGCATGTAGATATAGAAATGTCATATCCCTCATATCATTCAAAGTTGATCTATTTCACTTGTATTGAGTTTTTTTATCTGTTGAACTTGAAAACATGCCTATCTTTCTGTACTGTTAATTCTATCTGTACCTGCTGAGCTCGTCTCTATTTTCAGTCCAATAGTTAGTCTTGTTACTTACTGAGTTAGTTGTACTCACATTACACCCTGCACTTCCTGTGCAGATCCAGGTGTTACCGGATATAGTGGGTGTTGATTATCTGAGCAACTTGATCATTCGGAGATTTCGAGGTAGCTACTCGGCGTTCGCAGACCTTGACTCTCCCTCCCTTTCTTTCAGCTTTATGTATTTAGTTTCAGTTTTTCATAGACATTATTTTCAGACTCGAGTTGTATAGACGCTCAGGTACTCAGTGACACCCTGGTTTTGGGAACTATCGTATTGAGTTTTGACTTTCTATCCAGTTTATGAAAGCTTTAATTATTTAAACCTGTGTTATTTCATTTTTCACTTAAAAGTGTTGGAAATATTTTGAGGTGTCGGCTTGCCTAGTACCACGTTAGGCGTCATCATGACAGGCTAAGTTTTGGGCCGTTACATAAATATGGCAACCAAGATTCAAAGCACTTTTCTGAATATTGTAAAGATTCAAACTTAGGATCTAAGTTTTACTTTATGCCTTGGTTAAATTTGGTATCGTCTCTTTTAATCGATGAAAGTGGATTAGATCTAATCAAA